GACCTAGGCAAGGGGCCTGATCAACTGTTAAGCTGAGTTGAACTAACATGGTGAACTATAAAAACAGTGCACCTGAGTGGAAAAGAGAGCTTACGTACATTGCATGAGGAATTTTTTTAGGAAAAGAACTTTTTGAAAGAACAGTTTGCTACTCCAGGGTATTATGGTGGATGGGACACGAATTTATGTAGAACTTTAAACTCTTTCAGCTTCAGCAAAGACAGCTGCTGCACAGCGCCTCTGATCTTCAAGGTCTTGCTCTTAAGGACTTAATATTGTCACACCTCTTGAGAAAGAGATGCTGAACTATACACATCCGACAAACTGGGCAAACAAGCTGTTGTGGGTGAGCTGTTGGTGTGTGTTTAGTTAACCTTTGATAAAACATACCACCTGAGGGCAATCACTACAGAAGGAGCTTACAGAGCACTGATGTGAACTGGCTAAAACTGTTGTTTGCCGACCTGTACCCTTTCCTCCTTATTCAGTCCTTTCCTATCTCCTTACACAGCCTGAAAATTCACTGCTATTGCGGTTCTAAATTTATTCAGTTCTTATTCCAGTAGTAATGGCGCATCATTCTCACTTACTGCAACGTAATAGGAAAAACATTGAGTCAGCAAAGCACTGCATGTGTTTAGTTGAAAGCCTTTCTGGAGGGAGAGCTTGGGGGCCGGATTGTAGTTTGATTTGGGATTTCATAGTCCCAAACTTCATCTCTTTCTAGGTTGTACCATCTTGAAAAATCTAGTGCTAAATCATCCCTAGGAAGTTATGTGCTGCTTGAAGATGCGTTGTTCCTTTCAACTAAATAAATAAAATAGGATTCATCTCTTGCTGTAGCCTTTAATAACAAACTGCCAAAACATGTAATATTCTGTAGGGTTGTGGCTGCCCTCTTGAAGAATTTCTCACTTCCTGTTCTGTTTGACGTCGTTGCCCAGAGCAGCTTAATGATTTTAACAGCTCTTAGGTACACACGTTATTAGCAATGTCACTGCCATGTAGTTAACTTTAGTTCTTTATATGGTAATAAAAATAGTAGCTGAAGTTTGTAAATACAGTTTTTACATGTACTAATGTTGTGTTAACAAAACTTCCAGTTTCTTGCAGCTGTTTCAGGACAGTGTTGATAACATCTGCTTTCATATTACCTGTTTCCCAAGTATATAGCAGCAGGAAAATACAGTGAAGTAAATTCATGTGTGGCCCAGCCCTTGCAAAGAGTTCACATTCAGAGTTATGTTCTCTAGCATGGAGTTTGTCTCAGTGTGGTTGAAGAATATGTAATTAGGGACACCTAATGAAGTGTGCTGTTGGCAGAAATATGTTTGGCATCTCAGATGCTGACCCTGCTCTGACACCATTAGGCTTCTGAAGTTCTCATACAGAGATAATAAAGCGGCTTATCTAGGTTTATTAGTTATCACTCCTGACATACATTGTGTTTTTATGCTGTGGGGTTTTTTAACACTTCTGCACTGTAAGGGCAAATGTTTCTAACTTTCTTATGTGTTTCTGGACACTTGTAACTTAATATTTATGTTCATTAACTTTCCCCAAGAGAGAGAAAATGCTTGTTCATACTAATTTTGAAGTTGTAAGCATGGGATAAAAATAATTTATTGACTAACAAACTGAATTTTCCTCTCAAATGTACTTGTGTTTTGCAGAATTGTTTAAAAAAATGGAAATTTTTAAAAAATCTTTGAGTTCCTGGAAAAACTTAAATTAATTGCAACAAAAAGTAGTGAATATTTGCATTCTGTTTATTCTCCTCAGTGCTAAATCCACGTTTTCTTTAAACAGCTTCAATTTCTCTGAAAGCTTTTCCATGATTGTGATAATACAGGTTCCCTAGTTAGGTAAAATGCTATACATAGTAATATTGTTCAGTTAGGATTTTTAAATGTAGGCAAAACAGTTCTATCGCAGTTTTTCCACCATTCCGTGTTGCTAATGCCTTACAAAAAAAGTAGATGTTAACTATTTTCATCTCATTCTCTATCCGCAAGTCAACAGGCTTCCCCTGCAGAAATGTAAAATATAATGTTCTGTGTTACGTAACAATCTTAAAATATGCCTGGCTTTTTCCTCCATTTGTAATCAAATACAGTAGTTCTTTGTCTGTTTGTGAACAGCGTAGGAAGGATGTACAAGACTGCTGAAGAACAATTGGCTCAGCACCTTAGAGACAGGCTTGTTAAACTTCCTTTCTCCATCTCTGACAAAGCAAATCTAACAGATGCTTAACCTGTAAAGGCATAGTTTTGCAAGTGAACATGGTTTTACTGTGTATTGATGGTCTGCATGCAAGCGTTCAATCAGGTATTTACTGGTCAGTTTATTATCCAGTGAGAAATAAATAATGAAACAGTTATTTTACTTAATATTTGGTAACTTTTTCAATAATGGTCCCATGAGTCATCTTTAGATGTGGCTGTTAAGCCTAAATAAATCTGTATTTCTACTCTTGGAAAAGAGGCAGATATGAAATGCCTGAATCAAATAGACCTTAAAGCTGTGGCTGTTTCTGGGATTTGGAAAAATAGAGCTGAAGAATTTTAGAGCTGCATAACCGTTAATGATTTTTCTTAGACATGAGATGTGCTTTGTGTTGTACATTATAATCACTTTGGTATTAATAAATTTAGCTTTCCTTGAACAATCAAGTAAAAAGGGCTCTGGGTTCTCTGGTGGAAGGACTGCACTTTTTTGCCTGCCGTGGCATTTCAGTAGTATGGCAGCAGCAGCGTCTGGCTGCTCAGTAAGCTGAGTGTTGTATAGTCCTGTCCCCAGCGTTGTTCTGCTCTGGGTGTTTTGGAGGGATGGACAGTCAGCTTCTGTCGCCTTACCGCTAATTTGACTTTCGCCACGCTGCAGTTACATTTTTCTTTATATCAGACTGAGTGTGTTTATTGAATGGACTATATATCCCATTAGTACAAACTCTTTGTTGCATTTTTCTTGTACAATTAGCATAGCTAGGCAACATGACGTTTTTCTTGTAATTTTAGAAACAGCTCTATATAGTCAAAAATACAAAAAGTAGCAGAGCTTAGCAGTGATAGCTGCATATTTTTGTTTTGTTGTCCAAAAAAGCTGTTGGAAAGACTTAAGTTCTCATTAAAACCTTGGGAGTATTGCAGTTTCAGCTGGCTGACAAAACATGTGAAAAGATTGTAGGTGTTCATTTGCAGGTGTTCATTTGCTGCTGTTCCAGACCAAAGCTGCCTGAGCAGCAAGAAACATGTTCAGGTGCTATTTCCCAGCTCATTAAAAAGCCATGTGTTGTTTCTTACTAAAGTAGAAGATGCCTTTGGTAACATATTTAAAAGAATATAGAGGCGTCACCCTTCTTGATTATGAAGTGATTCTAAAACAGAAAAACAATTTGGAGGAATAATATGTAACGCGGGGTTCAGCGCAGTAAAGGAGAAGGGAAGAAAAAACCTCCAGCAGCTTTAAGCTGACTGAGAAGATTTAAACATCCTTTCAACAGTCTTGCTCCATTTCATGTCCCTATATCAAAGATGAAGAGATCAGTCATTTTCCATGAATATTTGTCTTAAGTTTAAAAAAAAAAAAAAAAGTAGTCATTTGAGGTAAGTATATGCAACAGGTCTGGCTTAAGTTATTTGCATGCTCAAGTATAGCAACAGAGTAGGTCGCGTTACGAAGATACTGTCCAATCATTTGGATTTAGCAGGACTGTGCTAGGGGTGTAAAGCAGTGAATTGGGTTTTCCCCTGAAAGTTTCAATAGGAGAAAACACGTTAATACAATTAATCACTTAACTATACTTTGCTATTGGATCTTGTGCCTTTTTGTTAGAGGAATGTGCCAATGACTGAGAAAATTTGCAAGTGTTCCTGATTGTGAAAGCTTGTCCGTGTTAGATTGAATGGCGTTACACTCTTGTAACGATATACAAGAATAAAAAAACTTTTATCCATATCAAGAAGAGGTGCATAAAACAGAATTCTCTGCTGCTGGCATTGCCTTTAGCTTTAAAAAAGTAAAGGTACAGTTCTGCTCAATAATTTATTGGCAAAATAATCTTCCCTGTGCTTTATCTTGCTATATTAAAGGAAGCAGTTCAGAAAAAGTCAGTCAGTCTTTAAAACCCTCCATTGCTTGCTAAGCTTTTGGTAAAGAGGTGGTGTGAATGGTACAGTACTAGCTCTCTAGCTTTATCCTCGCAGTGGGAACTAGGGTGGAGATCGAGATGCAGTTGAGTGTTGGTTTTGAAGAGGGTGATGTGGTATAGTGAAGCTCATCAGCGTGTTGATCTGGACACGATAATTTGGTAGTCAAGTTGGAACGTCACCTTTGCTGGCCAGTAACTCATCAATAACTATTTCAGGTCAGGTATCCTGTGTCTCTGAAGCTTTACGCTACTTAACCTACTTTCTTGTTTAAGGGAAGATACAGTATTCCTTGCCTGCTGATGTTTAGGACTCAGGTGCTTGCCTGGCTGAAAGAAAGACTAATATAAAATATGTTGCAACGGGCACTGTTCCTGAGCTTCTAGCCAGAAGTGTCAGTCTGCATACATTTCTTTACTCATAATCTAGTATTTCTTTCATTGTGTCCTACTTGAATGATTTTTTTTAATAATATTTTTGTGTTGTGTGAGTGAACGTTTGTAAAGGGAAGGAGGAATGTTAGCCTGGTACCTGTAGTTCTATTTACTTTCAGTTTCATTGCTCAACCTCAGGCTTTGGGAGTGCGGAGTAGATGAATTTTGAATTAACGATGTGTCAGCATCCTGAAAAACTATATTCATTATGGTTGACTAGTTTATCACTTTGTGGCTATCTACATGAATTTAAAGGAGATGGTTTCAAGTAGGGTTGATTCCCTCATTAAAAGAGGGGAGGTTGCTGACAATGTTGGTTATTTATACAGTGGAAATGCCCCAAAGTTTTGAAATAAACTTCTTTATGGCAGTAGAGTTACTGTGAAAGTTGCTTTCTCTCACGTTTTCTTTCTTGTAGGATATCTTGAATAATCTTGATTCGTGTGATCTTGATGATGATGATCTCATGCTTGATGTGGACCTACCTGAGGACCCACCTCATGACAATGGTTAGTAAATCAGTCAAGCAATTTTACATTGTGAAATTGTAATATGGGCTTAAGAGGTTTTTGAATGTCACAGTTTTGACTTCAGCTTTAATAGCAGATGTGCTCTTCCCCCCTCCGAGAAAAAATTATTTTATGTTTCGGGTAACAGCTCTTCCTTTTCTGAAACGCAGGAAATTTAACATTCCTGTGTCCCCACTTGCAGCTCTTAAATTTGAAAAGTTCTTAACAAAAGTTAAAAATTTTATAGCCTTTTATAAAAATGTTACCTTGTTATGGACTGTATTTGTTTCCTTAAGCTATTTTAGTAGGATAAATTTCCTCAAGTTCTTAATTAGTCCTTCAATGTCATGCTTCAGCTATATTTGAAAAAGTTCACGGGGAGAAAAAAGACTTTTCAGCTGTGGTGAATCATAAAATAATTCTTCTTGAGAGAGTTGATTTTCTTCTATTAAATTGCAACCATCTCCTAATTTCTTTTATACCATTCAGGGTAACAAGAGCCTTCATTTTTAAGACACTGTTTTTCAGGATGTTTTCTGTACGCTCTCTCTGTCGGTGAGAATGCTGGCGTACTTTATGTAGGGAGGATGATAGCACACAGTTGCCAATAAAATGGTACAAATCCAGACTAGATTGAGCCAGGTAAGGAAATTTATTGCCAGGCTTTTTCAAATCCTAGCCTGAAAAAGCTTCAGGGTCGTTTGCTTTTGGTCATTTCCAACCTCCTCATAGGAGTTGTCGCTGGCTCGTGAGTATGGGTGTATTAGCTTTCCTTCCAAGTTCCTTTTAGTTGGAAAGGCTGCTATAGTCTTCAAATAAATAGAAACATCACATATATACCACTGCAGTGCCTCACACTGTACGAATAGGCTCTGAATGGAAAAAGAGGCTTTTCTTATTCTGTGTACTCCTCAGCTACCTGGGGACATTTGAGGATATTCAGCTTCGAGTTTTTGAGGTGAAGACTTCTATATGTATGTTAGCTCTGAAGCAGAGTTAACAATAAATCAATACATAGTCTCCCATCCCCCCAAATGGTGGCAAATTGTATTTTTAAAAGTGTATATATAGGAAGTGCAGTATTTAGTCTTCTAAATCTCAGAATAAACTTTCCCAAGTGCTTGTATAAAAGGCACATTTTATGGCAGTTACTGCTATGCCATTATCATCTTCTAAGCCCAGATGGATATATACAGATTATTTATTTTGCTGGAATGGGTAACATGCCATCCCTAGATGTTTGCTCACAATACAAATGGATTTGCACCTAAGTATTTTTACAGTAATGGTAATTGATATCCGACTTGAAAAACTAAGAAGCAATTTGAAAGAGTTGGTCAAGTTCTTGCTACAAGTCGTCTTGCTTATGAAACATACAGTGCGTATACAGCAGCAATTCCGTTTCAGCTTATTATTCTAAAAACTATTCAAAATACAGAACCTTACTATGCTTGCATATTAACCTTATATATAGCCATTATAACCTTTGCAAAAGGTTAATGTATTTTAATATGTATTATCTAGATACGGGTGAAATATTTTTTACTTCATTGCTTTATTAATTGCATCAATATAGCAAATTTAAATCTGTACTCTGTTTAAAAACAAAACAAAACTAAGTTTCAGGACTGTTTTATGTGGCTGGAATCTGTCTTGTGACTATTACAACCTGTGCTGTTTCAGCTAGTTGCTCAGGAGGAGAGACTGTTACTGATTGGGATCAATATTAGCCCATTGCTGCTATTTTTGCCATTTTAAAAAAGTTGGATTTCCATGTAGAATTAATTTGGCATGAATGGGTATCATTTCTTGCTTGTTTTGAAAACACTGTCCTTAGAGCAAAATGGGTCTGAAAAGAGGAATCCAAAAATTATCATGCTCTTCCTTAAATAAAAGTGACCTCCTGAAAAACCGAAATTCATTATTTTGCTGATGCTCGTATGTCTTTACTCCAAGTGTCTTGATTTCATTAGCCAAAGCTGAAAATCATAATAATGAAACTATTCGTAAGTTTCCTGAGGGTTTATTTTGAATTGAAATCATGCATTATGAGCTGTAGGAGGATGTTTCTAAAGGAAAATACATCTTTTGCAACTTTAAGTGACCAGCTTATTTTCTTACTAGTTCTTTGAACTATTTGATACAAATTGAATTCTAGACGTGAGTATTTGTTATAATAATATTTAACAGCACTGTTTGCCAGCAGTTAGTTCACAATTACGTGTAATTTAACTGACGTCAACCTTAAAGTACTTCGCAGGTCTGCAGAAACTTTCTTTGTTTCACTCTGGAGTCTGGGATGCCGTTTGGACACTATTTATAGAAATGGTTCTAGCTCAACAAGTATGTACGCAGCGAGTGAGGATGGCAGTTTTAAATCACAGGGTGAAACTGGGCTCGCTTCCCAACACCACGCAGGCTGGGAACGGAGCAGGAAGGAAGGCCTGTTTATGAGCGTCTTGTGTGCAGCTATGCCCGAGTAGGCAGCCGAATAAAACAATGTTCTCTTGTGTAAAGCTATTCTCCTAGCAGAGGACTGACAATGTGAGGAAAAGCTCTTTGGGTAAGTGAAGGGGAAGGTGCAGTGGCAGAATCGTAGGTCATAACTTTACGTGTTTCGCTGTGTCTAACTGCACGGCTAGCAGTTTTGGCCTTGTTTCTGGTGGTTTACGATCTGTTGCCAAATATAAATTCCACAAACTAAAATGAACAAAAGCTGTTTTGCTTCTTAGAAGTCCAGAGTCTTAAAGAGATTATTTTATTTGTTTTAAATCATGCCTACAGTCTGGGTAAATAAAGATTAAACTTCTCTGAAGTTGAAAAAGGTCAGATGAATGGGATGAGATATATATATATATATATATATATGTGTGTGTGTGTGTATAAATATATGTATTTTAAGTATTCACCTTTCAGTGTTTGTGTGCTGTTAACTTTCCAAAGGCCTGAGGATACTATCAGTAAAGGAGACAGGAAAAATAACTTTTTTTTTCCTCTCCCTTCCTTCCCCATAGCCTTACAATTTCCAGGTGATTTTTCTAGTAAATGCTGTAAAGACTAAATTCTGTAGTTTCTGCCACAGGTTACTCGTATGCTTATAACTTCAATTTCTGTATGCTAGTAAAAAAGGGAGATCATTACAGCAGTCGTCTTGTGAGTTCTGCAGTGCTTACTTTTTGGTCAGTTAAAATAAAAAGAAACTAGACTTTACATTGCACCTGTCACCGGCTCACAACAAGTATTTGATTTACATGATATTGAGAATGAATTTGAGAATAATTTTTTTTTCTTTTCACTTTATGGTCTGTGTAGAGGAATGTGAAAATATGAGCCGTTATGACAGGCAAGACAGAAATGCTAGGCAACATCTGCCGGAAGGATTCTGGAAAAGAGCACCCCAGCCACGATGGAATACGCAGGATCACTATCATCTTGGCAATACTGATCACTATGCGCATGGTAAAAATGATTTGAACAGGTAAGAACCTGTTATCTCTTTTTTTCCAAGAAGTTAAAAATTAAATACTGTATTAAGAAATTTCTTTTCCACTGAAGGGCCTCAGGTGATACTGAATACAAGATGCTTGCAGAATAGTTGTATGCTTATAAATAGCATGTCCGAGTAGGAGAATCATTGACATGTATAACAATTTTGGGGGAGGCTACTCCTGATTTCTGCCAAGGGTTTTTAACTGAAATGTGTGGTTTTTTTTATCTCAAGCTGGAAGTAACGTGAAAGCGTGTTTGCTACCTTTGTTTATATGGTACTACAAATGCTTGCTTAAACTGCTGTATGTGTTCCAAGCAGAAATGTTACACTGATTATCACTTGTATGTTGTAGGCTCAGATAGGTTTTTACTTACTAATTTGTTTTTAAATTACATACAATGGTGTAATTTTTATAGGCTAACTTAAAGGACAGAGCTTATAAAAGTCCAGAGGAGCAAACTGGTTTTTGGGGTACTAGAGTTGTTCGTCTGTGAGAGATTTCGTGCAAGTGGGAAGAAAGGCCCAACAATTTTCTGATATGATATTGGCATTTTGTGGTGGGTTTTTTTTCCCTTCGCTGTATCCCACAATGTATGAGTATAGCCCATGTTACATAACACTTTTAACACTTTAATAAATGCTCTCTAGCTCTATTTTGTCATCTCTGTTTGTTCTTCCAGGGGATCAAACTGCCTAGAATCTCCCGTTGGTCACTTTGAAAGCTATGGAGCACCAAATTTTTACCAGGCTCCTAGACAGCTGGTGGGCTTACCGGAGAATACTGTGATGCTTGACGAAATGACACTTCGGCACATGGTCCAGGACTGCACAGCTGTAAAAACTCAGTTATTGAAACTGAAAAGATTACTGCACCAGGTGAGCTGTTATAAATGGAACAAAAGCAGGGAAGCGTATGGGAGAGCAGACCGTAAATGGGCTGGTCTTCTGTTTGGCCTTACAGTGCTGTCATCATTTTCTTCATACATTGAATTACAGTGTTTAAGAAAGTCTCTTTATTTTATTGCTATTTAAAATAATACTTTTTACTTTTTAAGCACTTTACTGACTGCAAAAATATTAAGCATTATTCTGCAAATATTATTGTTCCGCTTCTCTGGAGTGAGAAAGGTAATTTTCAAAAAACAAAAAACCCATGATGAGTGGATGTGAGGCAGGCTTTTAATTAAAGAGATCCTAAAAAGCTGAAGGTAAAAAAAATATTTTTTTTTGATCACATTGAATAAACTTTCCTTCAGCCTTTTGTCAATGTTTTACTTTCCACGTTCTTTTCACCTTTTCTGTGCGTTTTCCACAAGGAGCTTAGCAAATCCTGACAGGTCAGTCTCTTACTGCAAGTGCTAAAGTTAAACCTTTTTAGCATACAAAAGCAGTGCATTGTCATACACTTTTAAGGAGCTTTTAACATTTGGCCTCAAAACTTGGCAAATTGTGGGAGTTGGTAAGCCACAGGCTGATTCTGCAAAAGTACAAATTTTCAGCTACGATAATTCCTTTCCTTCCTTTTTTTAAAAAAAAAAAAAAAGTCCATGAGACCTTTTCCTTGGAGATATATATAGGTTAGTATTGAAAAATCTGTGTGATGTTGTGCTTAATGTTATAATTAATGCTGTTCTTTCCTAGCAGCACAACACAAGGGAAGTAAGTTCATGCCCTGAAAGTAAGATGCTAAAACAAAACGTAACAGAACAAGTAAATCAACCTTGTAACTAATTCAAGGATGTGGCTGTGCTTTTGAGAAACGTACACGTTTACTAAACTGTTGCGAAGTTCCTGTGGTAATAGAGAACACTGGAGATTGTATTTCTGCTTTTGTGTGGGGAAAATACATTGTGTAAAACATAAGGTAGTGCCAGAGAGGGAAGACGTGTTCTTGGAGCGTGACATCTGAGCAGTGAACTACGTAAGCTGCATAAACTGTGCCTTGCAGCAGCCTCAGGCGCGTGTGGTTAGTACACGAGATAGCAGGGCACGTTTTAGCTGGAGGTCTTAATGGCTTTAGCACAAGCACAATTAAACAAACAGTGATCTGCGTACTTGTAGTTTACTGTGTAAAGCTGTACCTGTTACACCGAACTGCTTGTGGTCCTGCAGAAGACTTTATTTTCAGCCTTGGTTTAGATTATAGTAGCTGGACTTTTCTAAAAAGTAACTCAAGACAAGCTCTGCCTCAAGTAGCTAAGATGAGGTTTCTTTTCCAAAAAAGAAAAAAACAAACTACAGACAAGACAACCTTTTTTCTTAATATGTATGTTCTTCAGAATTTGCTGCTTCTGTTTTGTGACAAAGGCTTCGTTTTCCTCTCTTCTACAAGTGTTATTCTTTCCTTCAAACTTTGTCAAGCATAGTTCTCTGTATTTTCCTGACCTAAGGTCCCCTCTCTGAACTTGCTGCTTCCAGGCTCCATCACTGCACTTCTGATTGTTTATTCTAGTCTCCTGTGTGTTATCCAGTCTTTTAATCAAAAAATATAAATAGTAATAAAAGACTAAATAAAACCGTTACAAATGGGAAAATTTTAGACCCTTGCTACCTTTATTTACTAAACAATTTGAGTGAAATATTTTTTCATTATTTTTACATATTAATTTTCCCTGAAAATACTGGGTTTTATACTAATAGAAATGAGTCAAAATATTACAGTTCTTTTCTTCTTAATTCTGAAGAAATACAATTTTGAAAACAGCTGCGTGAACTTGAGCAGTCTGAATACTGAACTGGTACTTGATGACAGTATCTAGGTCATATGAGAGGCCTTTTCTTTCAAAATGTATAAAAGCAAGATTCAAAATCAGAGCTCCTTTCGAACACTAGCTGTAGCAAAAGAAGCAAAAGTTCTTGTATTTGCTTCTCCCATATTATATATTCAAATGTTTTCATACCTTTTTTCAGTGATGATTTTTAGCAATGTTGTTCTTTAATTTAGGTGGAAGTAATAGTTGTAGAGTCAGTTATGCGCTCTCACAGGAACAGTTAGTTTTATTAGGAAATAAGTAGGAATTATACTTAAAATTGTGTATGATTATCTAATCAACTGTGACGTGACCTACTGCGGAGCGAGCGTAGCACATAGGGTATGCGAAGTGGGCCCCTAGGGAGGCTTGATGTGCTATGCTGCATTCGTAGCTCACGTAACCGCATCTGAACTACCATGCGCTTTACGAGCAGCATAGCTGCATCAGCAGGGGCCTTCCTGCCTCTTCCTCAATTAGCTCCTTAAACTAGCTGCTCTAGGTTGAGACTACGGTGCTAGTATGTTAGAATATCTTTATTTAAACAAGGACGGTAGTATGTCTGACGTCCTGGAGCCACCGATCTAGGCATCGTGATCCAGCCCATCCTCTTTAACCTCCTCTCAAGACCGGCAGCAGTGCTTCCCACCCTGTCTTATCTCAAATAGGCACTTGATGACGTTTTAACAAGAACTGAAGCATGGAGGAGTTAACAGAACTGTGAGATCCTTGAAGCCCTTTTCTGTGGGGAGGAAAGGTTTATGAAACTTATTTCTTTTCAAATCAGGTTTCATAAATAGACAAGAAATTCTATTTTTCAAGCCCAGATCTTCAATGTAACATACCAGGTATGACTGTCACAGATCTCTGTGAAGAGGTATAAACAGAAGGATGAAAGCTGTAGCACAAAGTGGTCAACTGTATCAACATATTGTTACTGAGACATAAGGCTCATGAGTGACTCGAGTACCTTCCTTTTAAATAAGTGGCTGTGTTCATTGTCGTCTTACCTTTTTGTGTCTGCTGAGATCTTTGAGCGATGATTTGCCTTCGGTATAAAAGGCCTGAAGACAAGGCAGATGCAGATTAAATATAAAAAGGAATATGAAGATTTCTGTTTCTTGTGAATTAAGTTGTATAAATTGCAACTGTGGTTGTTCCTTTGTTTTTTTTTTTTTTTTTTAAATTGCCCAGGAAATAGTTTACCTCATTGCCTTTGCTGTGCTGGATTTGGCTATTGCAAATCTGAGTCAGCAGCTAAATGTTTGACTCTCCCTGGGTGTCCATTTTAAAAAGAAAAAAGGTGTTTTTTTGGTTTGTTTGTTCTTGGAAGCTGCACTTTATTAGGAATTTTATGACTTCTGAACTTCATTTGCATAGTTGTGAGCTAATGATTCTTCCAAGATTTTAATTTTAATCATTTTTAAGAATTTAGTAACTTTTAATAGTATAGTCAGAAGCCCTTTCGAGTGCTGGCACTAAATACACACTTCTGTTGTGTAATTAAAAGGTTCACAAAGTGAAAGCTTCTCTCTTAAAATGATGTTTAGTGACTTGCCTAATATTGCATATCTCCATGGCAGCCTCAAATTATGCTTATGTGGTGTCTGGATTTTAAGAAGCTTTCCAATGGATTTTGCTTCACCTTGAGAAGGAAGCCAGTAGTTCCTGGTAACTTTATTAAGCTTTGACCATTGTTCTCGGAAATAAATTCCTAGCTGAAACATCCCTCTGTCATAGAAGCCTTGTTAGCACTTTCCTGGTACAACCAAAAATATGGAGAGATTGAGGAAGTGCGTAATTTCCTGGAGCCAGTCTATACTTGCCTTTAGAGCGTAAGTATTTTGAAACTGTAAGATATTCTAAGGAAGACGTTTATATAAAAACCCATTGTGGAGCACTGTTAACATCTGCTGGTTAACGCTGTGGGCGCGGGCTGCGGGCTGGGAGCTCGGGCTGAGCGGGAGCAGTTCTGCTAACTGCTGAGAAAAGGCAAAAGCACATAACTTTCAGTTGCTGGTGGTAATGTCCGTATTCCCACTGAGGTAACTTCCTGTTGCTGATATAAATGGAACATAAACAATTACTTCTAGTCACTAGAAATGACAACAAATAGAAATGTAGAATTTTTTGAGAGTATCTTACTGTATTTACAGCAAACTTGCACCTAAATCTGTTTCAGGCTCTATCATGTATGTTCGGGAGTAGATTTGCCGGTCTGCGGGCACATTTTTAAAGAATCTGTCCAGAGGCTTATCTGTTAACTCTTCTCTGAAATCAGTGCTTTCTACTTGAGTAGACAATAGGTGACAAAAATGGCATTGGTTTTACAGGCTATTGGGTGATAGTGGCGATATGTTTGAAGTTAGTGCTCTGTAGAGTAACAAGTTCTGCTTGGAGTTTAGAATATCTTGAATATAGCACAGAACGCGGCGTTGCTAATTTCCTTTTGTTTCCTCCCTTTTTTGGGGGTCATGAGAGAAGCATGGGTGGAGGAGAGTAACAGTCAGAACTTTGGGCGTATTCACAGCAGATGAGTCCATGCATTCAAAACTACATTTTTCTGTTTTACGGCTGTTTGCATTTGGGTGAATTGTAGTGTAACAGCAACAGCCGTACTTGAGGTTTATTCTCATAATCTTTAGCCTATATTTTTGGGAGAAAGTGGAAATGACAGATATGGACTTGAGAATGTAATCCACCACTTGGGTTAGGCTCTAACACTTGAGAGTGGGTACATGAAAATATCTCACACCTGTAAAATTAGTTGTCCGGAGGAATAAGTTGCATGACAGCCTTAACACTCGGGGAAGAAAGGATTGATGTAGTTTTACCTACGAGTGCATTTAACGTTCTCTCCCTGACTTTCACTGGGTCCATCCTAAAACAATGAAAAAACTGGTCTGCAGTAACTTTTTAAAAAATTATGATTTTTTTTTATTATTGGGATGGTAAAATGAACAGATGGATGATAAACTTTCTCTGCAGAGAGGCTTTGAAGAGGAATGTGAAGCAGAAATAATATTCAGCATGAAATCAGATGCTACTTTGATAGTCAGGGTTGCAGAGCTTTAGACATTACTGTGGTCTGGGTGCGTAGGCAGCCTATGCAGTTCAAACATTGTTACAGATGTGGTAAATTGTGTCTTACTGCTCCTTAACTTTCATTTAATGAGGAACACGAATCTGCTCCCATTTGTTTTCAAAGAGTTAGGGAGAAAGTTTTTTCATAGCAACCTTTTAGTCTTTGTGTGTTCTAAAACTCTTTAAAGAGAATTTGGGTGCGAGCCCCCCTTCCGCCCCCGCAGCTTTTCCTTTCATGCAGCTAGCTATTAATAAATATAGGATGACTGTAAGACTTGCTGGGGTTCAGTGTGTAATGGTTTCTGACTTCAGCTTTGCCATAATTCTTCCAGCCTATGATTACTCTGGTTTGTTCCATAGGGACTGCCCAAAGCTGGCCATAAGATGAAGCGTATGCTGTTAACTTAAGTCATGTAGCAAATTTCCAGTGAACGTAATCGAATTGAACATCGCTTCAGAAAGCTAGAAATTCAGATGGGTTATTGATACTCCTAGCCAAGAGAAAAGGACTGTGAAGTGATCAGTCACTGCAATATTGATTGCTTCTGAAAACAGAATATGCTAGATTAAACACTGCATACAAATAATATATATGAATTTATACCAGGGTGGAAAGTGAATCTATAATTGAAGACTGTCCCTACGTAGCTAATTAAATGGGAACATCTGCAACGTTAGTCCTCTGTCAGTTTGTGTACTGTTATTTTCATGCCTAAAGTGTATTAGGTTTGAATTATTTGCTGCAACATTTTAAAATTAGGAAATAATTACAAATAGTATTGATTGACTGTGGATTTTTCCCTTCTCATGCTGCTCTTTTACAAAAATGTTGATCTGCTAAGGAAATTAGATTACAAGGTTTTGTTCTTGCTTATGCTTTCACATATAACTTATTTTTAAGCGCATTTGATAAGCATTTTTTTCGATGCTTGTTGCCTAATAGAAACTGTTCTGAGATGTTCTTTTTGCAAAGCCTCTTTTGGCAGAAATAAGACTACTTCAACTGTTTTAAAGACATGTTTATGGTAAAAGTTAGGTAATTAGCTTTTTATATTATGGTGTAGAGAAACAATGTATCCTGCTGGTGTAGGAAATGTCACTCAGGTAAAAGAAACAAGAGCCAGCAGCTTTTTTTATATTGCCTATCGCAAGTTAATGATAAGCTATATTAAGTTTATTATCATAATGCTTTGCCTAAAGGTTAAAATTGTACACTCTCTACTGGTATCCCAAAGGCTATCAAAAATAGTATGTGCATGTAACAAGTTACATTTGTTCTGCTAATTATGCTTTCAGCTCTTTTTCTTTGTACAGGGATAGCTATTTTCTTATTCTTTTCATTTTTCTGCCTACTCACTCCCCTCCTCACGTCTCATTTTAGCGATATGATTAGGGAGAAGGAAAAGGGAGAACAAGAAAAGATTCATAATCTTCCACACTGTTACTACTAGTATGTGTTCTCAATTCAGTATTGGAGTTTCCATTGGTAGTATTAGTTCTGAACATTTGCTTTCGGTTGTACTGTTTATTAGGTATATTAAAATAATTAAGCAAGTGGTAAGGGAAGTGATGCAAATGAGCTTACCTCTTGCTTTGCAGTGATTTTAGTCAGGTATGGGATAGGGCTTGAGCACTTTATTTGAATTGCTGGAAAATTTGTGACGTACCGGCTGTCTTTGCAATGTGGTCTTAATCTACTATTGGGGAGTGTTTTATTTCTCCCGTTCCGTACCTTTCACTGGTTGGCAGGTAAAAGGTATGTCAGAGGTACTACAGAGAGAGAGAGATTTAAAAATATATGCAAGCGGCTTTTTTTGAAATTGTAAATTTGTCTTTGTTTCATGTTTTTTTTCATTCCTGTGGTTACTCCTTTACAATTATAGATAACTTTATCATACTTTTTCTTCTGAGTGCGTGTAACTTGTTTGAGTAGTTATTTTAAATAACAGAAATATGGAAGAAATCTGTTAATTGCTGCTTGTTCCCTCTAAAATTTTAGAAATGCTTTGGGTTAAATAAGGTTCTTATTCTTTTCTTTATGGTAGTAGTATTGTGCAAAACATTTCAAGACACTGCATTAGAATTTGTTCCTACTAGACTGCAAACTGCTCCATCAGCCTGTCACCTCGGTGCTGGCAATGTGCCTGGAAGGGACGAGCAGCTGCTTGTGAGTTGAATACAGCTGTGCGTTGGACTGTGTGTAAGTCGAAGGAGTCAGAAGCCTTCAGCAAAAAAGCTGAACTGAAATTTGACTCCTACTCAAATGAGTGGTCTTGGTCAAAAAAAAGAAAAAAGTCAAGAAGGTTAAAAAATAGAAGAAAATAACTGTGAGATGCAAAATTACATGCAAGTGACAGAATTAAATTTAACGGTCTTTAATATGGTAAAAGCAATTTTGAACTGTATGATAGGTCTTACTATTTTTCATGTATTTAGATGATTGTGCATATTTTGGCTGCAAGCAGTCAGTGACTAAAAGTTCATAAATTTTAATTTATTACTGTTTTTAAAAACGTCTGGGTGATCTCTCTTGAGGTGTGTCTCTGCCGTTTAATTTATATGAGAAATATTTCTTATGGATTAAAAAAAGCCGAATACATACCTCAGGGACATAAAGAACATAAACAGGTCTATTGATTTTCTTAATTGATCTTTAGCATTTGAGCTGCTTTAGCTCTCAGGATTTTTGGGAGTTGCTGGTTTGACCTTATACTGGTTTTAGATGGGCTTTGAAGCATATGCTGATCTTACATCTTCTCCAAATGCAACCTGAGGCAGTGAGGACACTGGGGAAGAGAAACTTCTTCTGCCTTTCCCCCAAAGTACTTTAAAAAATTGAGGAGGATAATACGCAGAAAAAGATTTTTTTTTTTTTTTCTCTTTTGAAAAGATTGCAGATGGTGGGAACAAGGCAACAAGAGAAAAAATCTTTTCAGGCCAAGGAAACGGGAGTTGTGGTCTTGTAGGGCCACAGAATAATTGTATTGTGATTGCACTGTGAGTATATGTCACGCTAGATCGGGCGCAACTTCCATCACAGTACAAACAGGAGACTGCATGAGGGGAATACCTTGTCAATTGTTTGGTCTCTGACTTCGACTCTGTAACCCAGCTGAATTGTTAGGGCTGAGCACCGCAGGTTTGGAAAACCGCACGCAACAGCTGCTGCTGTTCTTGTCATGGCAGCGTAAGTGCTTCAGGACACATCCAGGCAGGTATCTTTTGGCATCTTTGCAGGTTCTTTCTATTTCTACCTGCTGTGCTTAATTTCAGAATTGGTGGCTGTCGGTGGGAGGGAAAGAATACTTTTCCATGGTTCCGGTTTTCGTAATTGAGATTTAGTTCTGACGGCTATGGATTAATTTTGCGTTAGTCAACCCAGTAGCAAATGTAGCTATTTTAGTTGAGAATCCCTAGCTGAAACATTGTGGCTGAGTGTTTTGAAATTACTCAGACATATTTGTAGTGCAGATTCTGAAGGAAAATAAGGTTTTTATATCACGTAGTATCACCCTTCCTTCCTGCCATAGAACAGTTGAACAGTGGCCAGTGTTTGCCAGAGTTTTGCTCAGAATCAACGCTCTTAAACATAGCTACAGCTCCTCCTACCTACGGCTTCATGAGAGAGGCAATTTATGGCCCTCATTTAGGCAACGGACACGTGCTGCAGCAAGGGAGACTGTTTCCTATCAAGAAAAAAAAAAATTCACCGTGAGGTCAGATATTGTAACAGGTTCCCCAGAGAGATGCTTTCTCCAGTCTTGAAAGCAAGCTTGAAAGAGTTGTTTCAGCAAGTAATTCAAGTCTTTGTTCTTCTTTTTCTCTGACAGAATGATGAAAACGTGTCACTCCAGGACATCCCACTCTCGATGCCATCAAGTCCAGAACCCCAAGAAGCTGAACCAACTTTTAAGGTAAATGACACTGATGTACTCCTGTGGAACAGAGGCAGAAACCTGTTTGTAAAAGATAAACTTCTGTATCCTTGAAAAGCAGTGCTTCTTGCATCTGTTTAAATACAAACCTAGCAAATATTTATATAGTTTATCTTTTCAGTTTTTGTTAATGTGGATTTATTTACCTTTTGCATGCTTACAAATTCATGTACAGTTTAAATAATTGAAATAACTTTGCTTTTTCCTATTTGTAGCAGATGTGAGAATGAACAGCTGCAGGGTAGCTTCCTTCAAAAATTGCCTGCCTGTTTGATAACTGTTAGAATGTGGTCTAATACTAAGTTTTGAAAATGCAGTTTTTGCTTCTAAGTGTAATCACACCATAATTAAATACTTTCTATGTTTTATTACATTTGTTGTTAACCTGTGCTCCAGTTTAAAGTATCTTTCGCCTAGAGTGAATTTTCCCTGAGAAAATGCACGTGTTTAAGTTCTTATGATCACAAAAAACCCCACAGAATCAAAGATGCGTTCATTGCGTTAGAATGGGTATTTAAAGACAGAAGCAATTATATTAGATGTTCCAAAAAGGGTGGTCTTTCATGGACACAGATTTGTCATGTTGTGCTTTTTACCGTGCTAAGGTTTTATAGGATTACTTGGGCTTCTTATTGTAAAATCAGTATAGAAAGGCTGCTAATTCTGCACTTACAGGAGGGGAATAATAGCAACTTCTTAAGAGAGAATGAATTTAGAAATTCTTCTTGAAAGGCAAGAACACGTAGAGTCTTATACTTGTCTGAAGTCCATCTGTCCAAATCCTAGTTTCAGAATTAAAAAGCTTTGCCAAAGCAGCACTGAGGTCTAAATTACTAACACTGAGGCCTTCTTTTCTCTTTAATTGTATTTCTACTATATTTAGGTTTGTCCTTCTATAGCCAGATATAGGTTTGTCCCTCAAAATTTTAGGCTTAATTCCTAGAGGAAAAAGTATTGTTCTTCTAATTTCATAACAACAAGTACTAAGCGTTTTGAATTAATTTTTTAAAATGATGTCAGCATATAGTTTGCAAAGTTGCAGAATAAATCGTGTTAATGTTTTTCAAATAGTTCACTGTAGTGTCGAGCTTTGAAATATTTTTTTAGATAATGAGGAGGATAAGTAGTACTTGATGGCTAGGGTTGTTGCTCTCCCCCTGCTGCTAGTCATTACACAACAGATGAATCATTGCATCAAAAATGCAGCTGATTAACTTTTAGGTACCTACCCTGAACGCTTAGTGGGTTAGTTCAACTCTGTCTTACAAAGAGACTTCTAGTCAAGTTTCTTCACTCTTTAGGTTATATACCCACAGCCCATGTCAGCATGTGAATAACGGGAAGAAAGCATAAAGTGACAAGCTGAGAGGAAAGTATGTGTTAATGTTACTGCCAGAGTTCCGTAAATATCTGATTTAATATGCCTTGTGGAGGTGTTAATTCAGATTGTGTAGCCTTCATGGAAAACTTCGTATTGCCCAATGTTCTGTTGCAGACGGAAGATCTGCTAAATGAAATCAAGCAGCTTAAAGATGAACTGAAGAAAAAGGATGAAACAATCAACCGATTAGAGCATCAACTTGTAAGTATAATTTAAATATTTAACTAAGTCCCAAGCGTACACCACAGAGCATGACTTTTATACCTTGCTCTTATGAAGGCTCTAAGAAGGCTAGACTTCTAATTTTGACTGACTTTTTCTACACTTTCACTATAATGAAGGTTGAGTTTGTGGCTCTCTCTAGAGCTGCCTGACTCATGGGTCCGTAATGGTTCAGTTAGCGGCCCAGTTTTGCAGGCACTACTGTGTTTGTAGCTGGCATCGTTAATTCTGTAGGCCAGTCATGATTTGAGAAGCCCTAGGCAAGGACATTTATGCAATGCTTAAATAGCTTTCATTTCTTGAAAGAAACACTTTGAGCATAAAATTCTAGAAGGTGTCCAAAAATAGCAAAAAAGATAAGGCACTTTATGCTTGAAGTACTTTAACTAGAATTGGGCTTCTCTTCTGCCTTTTTTTTCCTCTCCTTTTCTCGTCTGCGTTTTTTTCCTCTCCCTTTCTCTTCTGTCTTTTTTTCCTCTCCTTTTCCCTTCCACCCATTAGTTTAACGTAGAATGTATTCTGTCGTGGAACTTGAAGCTGAGTGAGCGGGGTGGTATTCAAAGTTTTTTCTTTATTTAAAAAATAAATAAATAAATAAATCTCAATTTGGCCAAGTAGATAGTTATGTCTCTGAAGCCAGTGGGACACAGTTTTATCATGAATCAGTTCAGGCACGCACACAAATTCTCAGGCAAAACTGATATGTGCCTTTTGGATTTTTGGTCTTGTTATAAGTTAATTTTGGATTTTGTTGTGTATGTCTTTGCATCTGGTTCTGACAAAATAGCTTGCTATTCTGATTCTTGTAAAGTAGCCCCACACTTTCAAGCCATTTTCTGAAGTTACTTAGTTAAAATACTGCTTAAATTCTCTTCAAACTGATTTGATCTAATATCAATTAAAAATCTGTAAGTTTAGCGTGGGGGGGGGGGGGGTAACACTACAACGTC